TTTGCTAGAAAAACAGACTCAACGGAAAAATGTATAACAAATTATGAAAGGGATTTATCAAATAAGCTTACAGGATCACAGGCAAGAATAGTCCACAGTGGGGCTGGTGAGATGGCTCAGTGGTCTAAAGCACCTACTTAGAACAAGCTAAGCTCAAGCAAAGCACAGAGACCTCGGTTCAATCCCCCAGCACCACATGCCGGCCCGCCCACCCCCTGGTGGGCTGAGCTGGCCACACAATAAATAAATAAATAAATATTTAAAAAAAAAAAAAAAAAAAAAAAAAATTTAAAAAAAAAAAAAAAAAAAAAGAATAGTCCACAGTGGCAAGGGCGTCTAGAAGATGCTGAGTCCCAGCAGCTGGAAGCCTCAGCAGGAGATCAAGGATGTGTAGCTCTAGCCTGGGTCTAAAGCCTGGAACCTGCCTGTTGAGTCACTGGTGCGAGGGAGTCTGTTGAAAGGTGGAAACAGCTGGAGTCTGATGTCCACAGGTCATGGCAGCAGCATGACACCTGCTGGAGCAGAATGAAGCCTTAAAGCACAGCCTGACTCCCTTCTTCCCTTTTTGATGCATCTAGGTGCAAGCCTGTTATCAGACAATGCCCCACAGACAGCCTGGTTCTCCCTCTCAAGGTGCTGGCCTACATGCCAGTCATCTTTGGAAAGCACACAGTCAGACATGGCGAGCTATGTACTTCATTGATCTGCTAGATGGCTCTTAATTCATTCAAGTTGACAGTTGAGATTAACTATTGCACTGTGACCCTAAATCTTAGCATGTAGAGATTGGATAAGTGCCTTTTGTACCATCCATGGGTGTTTTCCACTGTGTGTGTGTCATGGCAGAGTACAAGTCAGGAGGTGGCTCCCAGAGCAGGTGGAGCCACAGTAGCTCCTGAGAGGGCAGCCCAGGTTTGGGGAGATGGGACAAAGGTTAGAGTGGTAAAAGGGGATAACTAGTGATGAGAGAGAGCAGAGGAGGGCAGTGGCACATGGAGGTGGCTGTGACTGGGCAGTTTTGCAGTGTACTTCAGGTAGAACTAAATTGGAACAGGTTGAGGAATGAGGAGATGGCAAGAACTGAAGTCACTGATCTTAATGTGGCATCTCTCCATGGCCCTGTTAGAAACCCTCTGGCTTCCCTCTGCCACTGTCTGAGCAGGGACAGGTGGCTGGAATAGTAACCACTGTATTCCTGTCTAGGTGGGCTTTAGGGTTTAGGCTTTGACCAAGTGTCCTTTTTTGCAGTATAGTTAATAGTTGACTTTTATTAAAATCATGTATCTACTTCAGTAGGGCTGGGTGTTTTTTTTTTTTTTTTTTTATTTGTTTGTTTGTTTTTTCTTGGTACCAGGGGTCAAACTCAGGACCTTACGTTTGCCAGGCAGGCACTTATGCTGCTGAGGTATCTCACCAACTCACTTTTTTCTTTATTTAAAAGTTGTCATATTCCTGGTGTTTGTGCCACTGGACAGCAAAATGGTGGGGGTTTGCTGGCAGGGAATTCTGGAGAGGCCCCAGTTTCCAACTGGAAGAAAAAGCGCCACAGTGGTTTGGCACACTTCAGAGGTAGCACAGGTATTAAATGTGGCTTGGTGGGATTGGAGCCCACCAAGCTACTCCTGAATGTGGAGTATTTGTCTAAGTGGGCAGTGCTGCTGGCAGGCACAGCAGTCACGAGTGGCAGACACTACTGGAAAGTTACAGTGAAGTGCTCCCAGCAGTTCTGGATGGGAGTAGACATGTCCCAGTTCAGCTACACCAGTGCTGATAACTGTTCACGTCTGTGCAGTGCGCAGCCTGAGTGGCACACCATGTTGGCCAAGGAGAATGTCCCAATCAGGCTGTCGGGCAGCCAGAGAAGGTGAGACTGCTGCTGGAGTGTGAGGCCAGGAAGCCTGGTAGACGCGAGCCGAGTCTCTGGTCTGCACTGCAGATTTCTGGGGAGCAGTGGTACCTGCTTTTGCTCTTAGGGTGGAGAGCTGCTGACTTACTCAGGGCTTGCAGGGCCTGAGAGTTCCTAATGTGTCTGTTGCTGGAATATCTAGTTATGTTTTTTGCCAGCTTTCTGTTCAGAGTGTCTGAAACTGTTTTACTTTGCCTCAAGCAACTCTAGCTCCCAAAGTTCAGCATTAAGTTAACTTCCTCTGTCTTCTACCTTTTCAAAGCTAGGCGTACAGCTGAGTTTCCCCCTCAGCTTTCCCCCCAGTGCCCCCAGTTTTCTGGGCAGCATGATATATCTTCCCTGACTTGCTTTCTTTAGTCGCTCTGCCTCCCCATGCCCAGGACTCTCTAAGGTCAATCAGTCCTGGAGTCTTGTCTTCCAGCTGTGTTTGAATTATATATTCTTTACTGTATTACCTCTCCCTCTTTTACACACATGTAAATTGTTTTGGAGGCTCTATTAAATCTCTCCAGAGTAAATCATTTCTCTCCCCTAAGAGAGAAAAAAGTGGTATAGTCAGTAACTTGGGCCATTTTTTAAAAACAATTCCTACAATGTGTGAACTCGGGTTCCTTCAGTGCTTAGTTGACCCAGTGGATCTGAGTGAGAACGCAGTTGACCTTTTCTCCTACTTCAGTGCATCAGCCTTCAGCCCACATGGCTGCAGCAGCCCTCATCCTGAGTGCACTTACCTTCATTTATACACCTTTGACACCTAGCCAATCCATCATAGATAGTCCTTGTGCCAGTTACAACTATGGAGGTATCTAAGAGAGTAGAAGTTTTACTCCTGAGAAGTTTCATCTTAATATCTTCCACAGTTGAGATTTCCAAAGGAAGGAGAAAGAGATGAGGTTTTGCATCATCCATTTTGGGGTCTGTTCAGAGCTGAATCTCTTCTCTTCTTGGCAAAGGATTACACTTGACCTGAAGCATTATTTAGGGATGGGGAAAAAAAACCCTGATGAAGTAAGTAAATATATGTGTGAAATAGGGGTTGTTTGAGTCTATGGTTCTATTTTATTCTACCTTCTATGATATTGATGAAGATGGATACTCCTAAGTGAGAAAGAAAATGACTAGATTTATTTATTTATTTATTTATTTTTGGCAGAACCAGGAATTGAACTCAGGCCCTTGCACTTGCCAGGCAAACACTTACTTTACTGAGCCATCTCCCTGGCCCAAGATTAGCAAAAATAATAATTTATGTGATTAAAGTTTGAGCACAACACACAAACAGTCCCCCAAAAACAGCTAGAGGGCAGCATGTGCTGGAAACAGGCATGCCAAGGTGTGGTTTTTCTTGATCAGCAATTACAAAGTAGGTAGTGAGTTTCCTTTATCTAAAAGATTTCAAGTGTAAAAATTCTAAAGTTTAAAACAACCACCATACAGAAAACAAAGAATAGGAAATGCTCATAAGACCTGTGCTGGCTTCTGTAGAACTCAGAGTTAGTATGTTGGTATTTACAGCCTTTGCATTCCTGGTCAGTGGCAACCACGCTACACAGTTAAAGTGGGCTTCCTGAGCCTTGGTCACTTCTGACTTCTCTCTTGAGCTCCCTAATGTGACCCTGCCTCACTCATCCTAGTCTCCGTGACAGAATGCTGCTGGGTCCTATGCCAGCTTCTTGAAGGTTGTTGGCCTTGTGGCAACTTTTTACAGGAAGAACCGTATTTCAGGCACTGCTGGCTGTTCAGTCCAGGGTCTGCGCTGTAGCAGAAAGGCCTGTGTCCTTGAGCTTGGTGCTGCTGTCAGTGGATGAGGGTCCCTTACAACAAGATAGACCTGTGGCCAGAGGGAGCAGCCCTGAGCCTTGGCAGTGATGGGGAGACTGAGTGCCACCTGGCAAGGCAGGTGCCTGTTCATCTCCTTCAGAGGCCAGCCTCACTGCCTGCATGAGAACGATGTGTCCCATTGGCTGCCCTTTTCAGTGTGCTCAGTCATTGCACTTTTTCTTTGCTACCAGCTGAACTTGAGAGTCATTTTGCAGATCTTTAAAGAATCTTGTATTTGTTTGGGATCCAGTTAGAATTACAGATAAGCCAGAGGCTGTGCTTGTTCTGTGCTGACTGTTGGAGGGTGTCCCATGACTGGTGCCAAGGTCCTTCTTGCACAGGTGACCAGAGTGGGTGTCCCTGGACCAGTCACCTGTACTTTCCTTGCTTTTTCACCTGTGTCCCTAGGCCCTGCATGTCCAGTGTATAGCTGAGGCTGTGTGCATCCCTTACAGCAGAAGCCACAAGTCTTTTTATTTGTACCTTGTCTCAGATGTGTTGGCCTGTGTCAGCTGCTGGAGGTCAGTGCCTGTGGTTGGGGGGCACATACCAGCTGTTCCACCTGAGTTCGCACTACCTGACGTATTCGTTCCAGCCTGGGCCCATCTGAAGGCTAGGCTTCTATGATGTGGTTTGCAGCCTGATGTGTGTACCTAATGTTTTCATGGGTCAAGTCTGAGCCCTGAAGGCCTGCAGTGCAGAAAGTGGTGGACCATGCCAGGATTACTGTCTGTTGGCAGAGTTCCAAACAGAGTGCCTGGTAGCTTAGCTGAAATCATATTGTGCATGGGAGCTTTCCCAGTCTGCAACGTTCTGTAGGAGGTAGTATACAAGTGGGTAGAGACTGGTGCTTCCTGTAGACTGGCTAACATTGATCTTTCTCTTGAGGAGCCTGTGTCTAGCAGGTAGTCATCCCCATGAAGGTGTGATGTCCATGGCTGGCCAGTCTGCAGCCAGCAGAGGGTGTGGAGAGGACCTGGAGGGAGCAGCATATGATGTGAGACCCACCTTACTGCACCTGGAGGCAACACTGTGCTCTTACCCTGCAACTGGCTGACAGTAGCCCAGTAGGATTCCTTGTATGTTAGAAACATGGTAGGAACTTGCAGATCGACATAGTTCATGCTGTGGGACTAGGCAGAGCAGAAGGGCTCCACCCGCATGGTGATCTTCCCTGAATTCCTGCTGAACCCTGTTTCATTCTGTGTGCTATGAGAGGGCTGTGTGGATCTTCTTTGGTAGGCTCTGGCTAACCTGTCTCTTCTGTTTTCAGGTCCTGGCAAGACCCCAACCCTGGGCGGAGGCTTCCACGTGAACCTGGGAAAAGAGTCAAGAGCACAGACCCTGCAGAATGGTACTACTCACTGTGAAAAGTCTTTGACTTTGGAGGGGGAGGGGCTACAAGGTGGGGTTGCAGTGTGGAGATAAAGGATGAGAGCACAGAGGCTTCAGCTACTTCTTTTGGTTCTGCAGCACCCATCCACCCAGACCTAGCCTTACTTTGTGTCCTGCTATACCCTGCTACCCTCCAAGCCCAGGGCTAGTGCACGTCTGGTCAGAACTACTCTTTTGTCCCTTCCACCATCACTAGGTCCTTCCTGGGCATCCTCCAGACCCTGCCAGGCCTACTCAGAGGGAGATCCTGGGACCCTGTCATGTTCATGATTGTTTGTTCCTGGCTCTGTCAAGATGAATATAGAAACAGCAAGTGGCAGTATGTTTTTATTGTATATATTTAACTGGGTGATTTCCTCTTAAGTTGAAAAAATTCTTACATATTTTAGATAAAAATCTTTTTTTTTAGGAGGGACTTGGATTATTATTATTTTATTTTATTTTTTTGAGACAGATTCTCACTGTACATTTCAGGCTAACTGAACTCTAGTCGATTCTTCTACTGCAGTCTTCTGAGTGCTGGAATTATAGGTGTGCGTCATCACACCTGGGTAGATGCAAGTCTTTTATGATTTACAGAAAATTTTCTTTTGTTCCATGGGTTGTGTTTTCAGTTCTTGATGGATTCTTTGAGTCACCAGGTTTTTTATTCTGGTAATGTTCAGTTTTTCTTTTTGTTGCCTCTGGTTTTGGAGTCATAAGCAGGGAACACTACCAGGTTGGGTCCACATCACAGAGATCAGTGCTTACATCTGCAATGCCGTGGTGTCAGCCCTTGTGTGGGTTCTGGTCCTCAAGTTAGTGTGAGCATGTGGCATAAGCAGAAGGCCCTTCTTTGCATAGATACCCAGGATACCAAAGATGGTTTGTGGAAAAGATTCTACTTTCCCAGTTGGTACTCTCTAGCTACTCTTGTTGTGAATCATGAGTTCCAGATTCTCTTTTTGTTGTTCTGTTTTTTCTTTGAAGTATACAGGATTGAACCCAGGGGCTTGCACATGCTGGGCAAGTACTTTACCACTGAGCAGTGTTCTCCCTTGCTCCCTTGCCAAGTGGCCCAGCTGCTCGAAATTTTTGTCTCCTTGCCTCACCTCCTGAGTAGCTGGGGTTATAGCACATGCCACCACGTCTAGCTGGATTCTGAGTTCTGGCTTATGGTCTGCCATAAGGTGCACATCTGTACTCAAGTGCACCTTTCGTTTGGATACCAACTTTGCAGTTGTGAACTGCTCCTGGCCCAGCTTAATGCTTAAAATCTGTGAATTTGGCTTCAGAGCGTGTGATGATTACCTTTCTGCAAAAATCACAAAGATCGTTAGGCATGGTAGTACATGTCTATAATCCCAGCAGGTTTTTTTTTTTTTTTTGCGGAACCAGGGATTGAACTCAGTCCCTTGCGCTTGCCAGGCAAGCACTTATTCTATTGAGCCATCTCCCTGGTCCCCCAATCCTAGCATTTGGGAGAATTGACATGAATTTGAGGCCAGCCGGGCTACGTAAGCAAGTTCAAGGCCAGCTTGCATTATTTAGCAAGACCACAAATATAGAAAGAAATAAACTGACTATTCCTACTGGCTGTGTATCTGCCTTGCCTACCTTTATAGCACTTCATGTGCACTCCTAGGATTCCTTTGGATCTGGGGGGAATATACTCAAGTTGTGTTGGATGGAGGAGGGATATGGGAGAGATATTTTTGTCTCTCTTTTCCTGCTGGGATGCTTGTTAGAGAAGTTTCAGATTCACAGCTGAGCTGAGGTAGTGTTATAGAACCTGGTACTAAGAGACTCTGCACCAAGGAGTTGGCAGGCAACCAACTTTATTATGCTGGCAGGCTGATGGGGGATCGCCCATAAAGCATCAGCCCAGAGCCAGCTTCCGGCTTACTTTATGTAGGTTTTGCAAACAGGAGATGCAAAACCTTAAAGTGTGGTGACTTAACAGAAAGTCCAAGTTAGCAGACGGGTATGTTTGGGGCTGAGAGTACAGGCTGCACAGCTGGGTGCATCACACTGAGCTGGGTCAGGTTATCTCTGGTGTGTAGCTGAGTGTAGTCAAGGCTGAGTGAGTCTAATAGACGAGCTGGCTGGCGGGCTGTATGAGCTCATTTTGTCCTAGTGTGGTGTCAGACTACTAGTTGATATTTAATAGTTTAAAAATTTCCATCATAGGGCTGGTGAGATGGCTCAGTGGTCTAAAGCACCTACTTAGAAGAAGCTTAGCAAAGCACAGGGACCACAGTTTAATCCCCCAGCACCACATGCCAGCCAGCCCCGCCCCCTGGTGGGCTGAGCTGGCCCCCCCAAAAAATAAAAAATAAAAAATAAAAAAAAATTTCCATCATAGAGCCTGGGGAGATAGCTCAGTAGAATAAGCAATTGCCTGGCAAGTGCAGGGTCCTGAGTTCAATCCCCAGTACTGCAAAAATAATAAAATAAAATAAAAATTTCCATTATAGGGCCATGGAGATAGCTTGGCAGTCTGAGTGCCTGCCTGGCAAGCACAAGGACCCAGGTTCAAGCCCCAGTACCATATGCCGTACTGGCCACCAAAACCAAGTATGGTGGCACACACCTGTAATTCCAGAGCTGGGGAGGCTGAGACAGGAGGATCATAACAAGTTTAAGCTGTGAAGCGAGACCCTGCACCAATTAATTAATTAAAAATTTTCCATCACCATTTCTCTCTCTCTTTTTTTTTTTTTTTTTTTGGTGGTACCAGGGATCGAACTCAGGACCTTGCTCTTGTCAGGCAAGCGCTTATTCTACTGAGCCATCTCTCCAGCCCCTAAAGTTTTAATATTTCTATCACAGTAGAGCCCATGCACGTAATCCACATCCCACAGCTGCCCTCCACAGTGGAGCACCTATCACCACAATTGAGCCCACACTGACATCAGCACTGTTCAAGATCACTGTGTACGTCAGGGTCACTCTCTTTTGCACATGCTGTGGTGTGAGAAAGTGTGCACTGCCATGTGTTCACAGTTTTGGTGTCACACAGGGTCATTTGACTGCCTGCACTTCTGTGTTTTGTCTGTTCATCCCTCCTCCCTCTGGACCCCTGCAACCACTGTTGTCCACAGTCTCCCAGAGTGTCCCAGAAGCTGGTGTCACAGTATATGACCTTTTCAGACTGACTCCTTCTAGTTAGGAACATGCATTCAAATTTCTGCTGCTGTTTACATAGTTTATTTCTTTTTAGTACAGAATAATATTCTATTGTCTTAAGATGGATCAGTTTTTTTTCTTTTTTTTTTGGTGTTAGAGCTCAAGCATAAGACTTGTGTGTGCTAAGCAGACACTGCAGAGCTACACGCCAGCTTACATGGTTTATCCGTTTACTCATTGAAAGCGGTCTTGGTTGCATCCACCCCTTAGCAGTTCTGAATAAAGCTGATGTAAACATCTGTATGAAGGCAAATACTAAGCATTGTGCTTCAGGGTGAGAGCATATGTGGTTCCACAAGAAGTGGCCAGCATGCCTTGGGAGGTGTGCCACCTGCAGTGCACAAGACTGCTGTTGCTCCATGTCTTCTCTAATACTTCCGTTGTCATTTTGCTAGGTTTTGGCCATTCTAGAATGTACTTGAAGTGTATTTTATTGCTGTTTGGGCTTCACAATATGAGTGTACACAGTTATTTGCCTGTTTCCCTGTGGAGGGAATGTATGGTTCCATTTTCAGCCATCCTTTCCTGTGTAGTCTGCTAATGTACGTAGGACTCACTTCTCTTGGGCAAACAACTGCAAATGAGATTTCTGGCTTGTCCCGTGGTATGTGCTCATTATTAGTAGTCTGGGTGAGAATCTTTTCCACAGTGGCTATAGATTTACCCTGTGTCAGCACATAATACTGAGGGCTCTTCCAGCTCTGGGTCCTTGTCATCCTTCAGTACTCACTGGGACTTGTCTAGACAACCTGTGCTGTACTGACCATCCTGTACATTTGAAATGCTTGCTCCTCTTTATACATTTTTTTTTTTTAATTTGTAGAAGTGCGTTAAATGTTGGACGCAGGGCTTTTTGTTGTTTTTTGAGACAGCATCTTGCTGTATAGTTCAAGCTGGCCTTGAACTCATTACTGTATTTTTTTAAAAAATGAGATCCAGTTGAAAATTAAACCTGAGCATGTGTGGGGGACTCAGGTCAATAATTTCTGATATTGCCCGTTAAACAGAAGACCCAGTGCTATTATGGGCTACTGGACTCTTTTAGAATATTTTGCTGAGTTTACAC